CACGACCAGACACCCGCGTGCTTCATGGCTTAGATTTGAACGTCAAGTCGGGTCAGTTTGCCGCCTTGGTCGGACCCAGTGGTGCTGGAAAATCCACTATCATTTCACTTGTCGAGCGCCTATACTCCCCCGAATCCGGCACCATCCATGTTGATGGCCGAGACATTGCCTATGGCGATATCTCATTCCGTGACTCCATCGCATATGTACCACAGCAGAGTGTTTTGTTCGAAGGAACTATTCGCTTCAATCTTGGCCTTGGCGCACGACCTGGTCACAAAGTTACGCAAGCGGAGTTGGAAGAAGCATGTCAATTAGCCAATATCCACGACGTCATTATGCAACTTCCCGACGGATACGATACACACTGCGGGCCAAATGGTGATCGTCTGTCAGGAGGCCAGAAGCAGCGACTGGCTATCGCGCGGGCGCTGATACGAAAGCCGAAGTTGTTGCTCCTAGACGAGTCAACTAGTGCTTTGGATGCAGAGTCTGAACGATTGCTCCAGGACGGATTGGAGAAGGCATCCAAAAACATGACGGTAATCGCAATTGCGCATCGTTTGTACACGATTCGTAAGGCGGATGTAATTTTCTTGATTGAGGACGGGCGTTGTGTTGAGCAAGGCACTCACGCCCAGCTAATCGAGCGGAGTGAGACTTACAGGGTCAATGCCTTGAACCAAACAGTGGATGGATAAATGTTCTTGGATATAAAAAGGTAGAGATGGCTGGTTTTTTCTTCTGTTTCTGTTGATATAGATCTATATTGTTTAATCCCATTCCTTTATGATGGACAATTCCACAACTCCCTACTACATAAATATCGTTTTATCACTTTGCTACCAATTTGAACGTTTACTCGGTTGCTTCTCCCAAGCGCATCCATCTCCAACAAACTGGTTTTATTAGCTTAATCAATCCGGCTGCAATAATTGTCAACTTACTTCCATATCCTAGATCATCATTGAAGAACATATTGCGGATCTCGTCGCCCGTGGACACTCCCATAGTCGGGAAGTACCCAACAGCGGTTTTCCCAAGGGCCAAAGCCATCATTGGAGCTACCTCAACCAACTCGACGAAGTTGGGTTCCGTGTTGTACCGCTCCGCTAGCATCTGCTGGTGGATATTGACAGCTGCGAAGTGCCCCTGGTGCATCGCCGCTCCACCACGCTTAATACCAGACCAGGAGACAACATCACCGGCAGCATAATGATATTCCTTGTTTGGCACATCTGCAGAGAATTGAAGTCCGGGCGTGATACGGACATATCCCTCGGGGTCGCAGGCATCCTTGGGAAGATATGAGGATGTTGGTGTAAACCGTGAAACAGCATTGATTACATGGTCAGCGATGAGTTCTCGGCCATCCGAGAGCTTGAGTGTGTACTTCGCCGGAGCAGAGTCGCTACCGAGAACTGTATCCTGGACGCGTGCTCCCAACACCACTTCGACCTTGGACTCTTTCAGCATTTCAAGGGCCTTTGCTTTGAATTCATCGGGGAGGTCCTCGGAGGAGAGCAACTGTTGCCGAGAGTGAACAAGGGTCACCTTTGCCTGGGGCTGGAGCATCTTAATCTCGGCGGCGATCTCGATACCGACAGCACCTGCGACAAACCAGTCAATTAGTACAACTCAAATGGAAGAAAGATGGGTGACACATACCACCTCCAATAACAACCACGCCTTCCACGGCTTTCTCAATAGTCTGCACAGAGTCTGCAGTTTCGGCAAGATATGCCTCCCGAGTCAAAGACTTGGGTGCACTGGGCCATTCCCTTCGCAAGCCAGAGCACGTAATCATGTAATCGTATTTCTCCTCGACAATCTTGTGCCCATCATACGCAGTATTTTGACGGATTCGTGCGATCCGGGACTTGCAGTCTATTGAGTCTACTCTTCCTTGTATGTGGTTTATATCCGGGGACTGGAGAGCAGGAATATCCGCAAACTTATTCCAGAACGTGCTAGCATCGGCGTTGGAAGCTATGGCTAGAGGCAGTCCAATCAGGTGGTCTTAAAGAATTACTGTCAGTGACATGCTTTTCAAATTTTACGTGAGGATACCACATACAATAACCGTCGCGCTCATCCACGATGGTAACTTGCACGGGAATCTTGTTCCCTGGTGCCTGGTCCTTTTCAACCAGGTTGAACCGACACTTCCGGCCATGGCACAGGTCAACAAGGTTAAGAGTTGCAGCCAACCCGGAATAAGACCCTCCAACAATCAGAACCTTGAAGGGCGGCTGTTCTTCGAGACCAGGCATGGCAGCGATCACTGTAGTCGGTGTTGGTAATGATAGGGGGGGTTGTTGGTATAGGGAAAAGAAAAAGAAACCAAACCATGAGCCGACAAATCCACCCGAGTAACGGACCGGATCAGCATCACTAACTACATTTCGGTCAAATGTCTCATTACCAGGCCCCGGAGGAAATACAGCCAGTTACGTATATACGTAACTTTAACTTTCAATGCAACCTTGTCTTATCAGATCCGACTTCGGGAGCCTTGGCGCCAAGAAAGCAATTTCCAAGGTTGTTGAATACTGATGCACTTAATACCACAGTGGTACTTTCTTCAACTCTTTCTGAGCTATTCCTCAATAGCGATTATACTTTCTTTTTTTTTCACATTCAATATGGGCTTTGTTGTCGTCCCCGCCACTCTCCCTGATATCCGGGCCATCTACGATGTCTGGTTTGCGGCTTTCAATGGCCAATTGATCCTAGACCTCATCTACCCAGGAACCGATCTCAAAGATGAGGCTTTCCGTAAAGTCCACACCGAAGGGACTCTTGAATATTGGAAGGGATTGAGCATGGAGCACACCTTCCAATGCATTGACACCGATACCGGTAAAATCGCCGGCATGGCGACTTGGCAAGTCTACTGGCGGGAAAGGACAACCGAAGAGCGTCAGAAGCCGTGGATCGGATGGTTAGAAGGTGAACAGCGCGAGCGTGCCGAAGGCTTTTTGGGACAGCTTTGGGAGAAGAGGGAGAAGTGGATTGGGCCCAAGAGGCATGTGTGTGAGTGTCTACCGATTATTATATTGATCATAACCATATATTGACCGGCAACAGACTGTCACACAGTTGCAGTGCATCCAGACTACCAAGGTAGAGGTATCGGGGCACAGCTTATGCAATGGGGAATAAATGTGGCAGAACAGCTGAATTTGCCGATTTACCTTGAGTCAACAGTGGAGGGAGTCCCCTTGTATCAAAAACTTGGCTTCCAGACACTCTCAGAGGACATCCTGTTCAAGCCCGAAATTACCAGGGTCGAAAAAGAGGTTCGAGCGCCACTCATGGTGAAAATGCCCACAGCTGCGGGAAACACGACATTTGAGGAATGGGCGGAGGACAAGAATTCCTCTGTATAAATTAGGCATCTACATACTTTGTTTAGGCCTTCAATGCAAGACACGTTTGGCTAAATAATCGTATGGCATTCCAAAATCCCATCTTTAAATATTAAAAGAACCTGTCATGTACGTAAAACGTTGAACTGCATTTACATACACGCTCCTAGTCTGCAGCGTGTAAAATATGCACCAGAATTTAAGCTTGTCACCCGGGCGATAACTCCGACTAATTCCGGTAATCAGATGATAAAACCGGTCACCCCTTTCCAACAGCCTTGGCAAGGAGTTTGAGAGTTATCCAGAGGCCCAAGCGAACTAGGAGTTAGAGCCAAGACTTGGCGTATTTGTGAAGGAGGGGTGAGGTTTTTTATCAGATCCGTGAAACCCTTTTCGGATTTTTCATACCGAGCCAAGAATGACAACAACAAGGCACACCAAAAGAGAAGGGGTGTCGCCGTCACTCCTGATGAATCGATTGGTAGATGATCAAGTGAACGGCAGTTTTCGTGTGAATCAATGTGGGCTGAGGTATATCACTGTGGGAATAACAACGAGTTGGCTTATCCTGTAAATCACTCCCTATGAGGTCGTATATACTCCACTCCGAGCTGACCCATCCCCGTTGGATGTGGTGGATATGAGAACCTCGGAACGAGCCCGGCAGGTGCCGATCAGTTCTGGCGTTCGGTCTGACTTTTACTTTTACGGATACCTTGAAATACCGGTAATACCACCCAGCCTCGTGTATCGTATGGAAATACAATGTGGGGCCGCTAATCTAATCTGATCAAGAATTATCAGATAGCCCACAAACAGTCCACAAACTGTGCATAAACAGTTCATAAACAGTCCACGGATCTATATACCCGTGGACCTAGATACAACTGAACTCTTTAGGACAGTCCTAGTTTTAATTAAAGTACTTGTATCAGAGAGTGAATTTGCTGGCCGACATCGGCTGGACAGTGGGATTTCCATGCAATTCTGGTCATATATTTGAGTTTGAGACATCCAGAGAAACCAAAGAATTAATAGTCCACACTTGCAGGGAAGTCAATCCTGCATGCGCCATTTTTCCACCTGCCGCCCTTTGCCGGGACTCCAAGCTACCCTTGTTGTAGCTTAGAACACTACAACATACTTGACCCTGGAAAAAGTTCAAGTCCAGCCCTCATGAGCCTCCGAATCTCAAAGTCTCCAAATCTGGCCTTGTCAGCCCTGGATACCTTGTTGAACAATCTCCTATGCTTGCAAGCATGCTTTGCTACAGACTGAGCCTTTTGCTTTTATTTGCTATTTGTTAGTTTGTTTGCTACAATTGAGCAATGTTTAGATGGTTTCGCAGGGTATATAACTCCCTGCATTTCTAGTTTAATCAATCAATAATTCTTCTCCTGCTTTCCCCCACACACTGTAGTATTCACTACAACATACCTCTTATTCGATCAATCATGGGGCGCACATCAGTACAGCGTGTTTATCGTGTCGGACAGCAACGAGCTTGTCTGGCAGCGCCCGTCTGGTGACCTGAAGGGTTTCCGAGTACAGAAGCTGGATGGGAAGCCTCTCCTCACGTACTCGACGGTCTTGGGGTCTCAGAGCTCTTTTTGTTGGGGATGCGGTATTATGCAAGTCTTGGATGAGTCTTATCAAAGTATCTACAATGTCTCCGTGACGAGAGACAACTACAAGGCCTTGGGCAGCGTTGATGGCTCCTCTTTGATATTATGGGTTGATATGCACGAGAACACGATCACGTCTGATGGGACAATGCTAGTCACTAGCTACAATGTCACTCAGACTGATCTCAGTTCCGTGGGAGGTCCCGAGAATGGCTGGATCATTGACTAACTCTTCTTGCAGAAGCCCACTGATTACCTATTGGACTATCATTTTGAGCTAGAATTCAAAAAAGAATATCATATACTCTTCAATCCTATTTTGTAGGTACTAATAGTATGACTGACAACTAATTAGAGAAACATTATTACATACTGACTCCCACTAGCTTCAGTCTAATCCCCGTAAGCTTCATCTTCCAGCTTCACACATTTCTATCAACAGTACATCAACTTAAATAACGCGTCCCTTGACCTGCTTAAGATCCTTTATCTTAATGTCTCTCCACATCGCAGCACACCCCCAAGCAACTACCAGCATACAGACACTGGTAATGAGCATATATCGCTGCGCATCTCCATAGGCACGAGCAATGGCATTCCGAGCCGGGCTTCCCCACTCATACGACAGCTGGGCCGTAATGTCCGAATATACCGCTGCCACATCCACCTCCGCTGGCACATATTTGGCCAGCGCTTTCGGGAACTCACTGGTCCAGATAGCGGCAGACACGGTTGATCCAAGCGCGCTTCCAATACTACTGAACAGGTTCAGCATAGCAAGTATAACAGCGATATGTTGGTGATCCGAAGGCGCCATCATCGCAAGCTCGCCACAGATAACAGTAGTTCCACCAGCGAAGGCAACGAAGATTTGAGTCATGCAAATGTATCCAATACCCGCATCGGGCTGACGGAATTTAATCATCAATCCAACGCCCAGGATCATAAGCGGGAAGGAGAAGTAAACCGCCAGCCACTTGAAGCGACCAGTCCAGCGAATCAGGAAGCCGACGAGCAGACAAAAGAGGCAGGATCCAACTCTGTAGATGGCTGAGACATAGCTAGCTTCTGTGACATCCAGACCCCAAACCACCTGGAGCATTGATCCGAAGTAACTACCCCAGACCATTGAGTTGAAAAATTCAAAGATGAACATTAGCCCTCCGAAGAAGACGGTCCGGTCCATCAATAGATTGAACGGGATGAAAGTTACTGGGGCCCAAGATCGCTCGTAGATAGCGAATGCGATGAGCAAAAGTCCTCCAAAAACGATCATGCAGATAATCATCGCCGACCGCCATTGATCCTTCTGGTATGACCAGAGACTGAACGGAAGTAGGAACAAGGCCATTCCACCGGCCAGAAGAATGATTCCAATCAAGTCGACCTCTATGCAGTATTGCTTTACTGTAGACAAGGTGAGCGGACCACGGCTGGGTGCGAGCAACCCCATCTTCTTGGCCTTTTGCTGATTCCAGAAGAACAGAAGACACAGAGGAGCCACCACGACCGGAACGATGATGGTGAATATTCCAAATCCCCATCGCCAGCCGGGGCCTTCAAGGACGCTCTGGGAGATCGGTCCCCCGATCCAGGTGGTGATTATGTATGGCGAGGTTGCGAACGACAACATGAGGGCTCGGTTCTTCAATGCAGAGGTGTCTGAAATGAAAACTGTCAAACAATAGCTGACTCCTTGGGATCTAGAAGTTGTCACAAATTAACTAGGCTGTTGAAAAGACATTGAAAAACAGAACTCAATATGGATATCATACCCCACTGATGAGAAAACCTGTGCAGCCGCGTAGGTCTGAACGTTGTCGCAGCCCGCCATCATGATGAAACCCACAACCCAAATGATCAACATCAAAGACATACCCTGAGGACGACCCCACGAGTCCAATATCTTTGCCAAGGGAATTTTACTCAAGCCTCCAATGATATTGGCCATGATACTCGTGGCGGCAGTCAAAGAATGGAGCATGAAGGCACTTGTCACGTAAGGGTTTAGAGAACGGATGACGACCTCCTGGATGGAAGTAACAAAATAGATAAACCAAATGCTTCATATAAGAAAGGTTAGTGGGCGGAATGAATATAGACATTAAATGATGAAGAGATTCTCACATCGCATATGCCAGGATCAGATGAGACTTAGTCCAAACGGCCGCCGCGGCTTGAACTCCCTTCACACCAGCCTGGGCTTCTTGGTCAAGAGACTCTTGATCCGAGTTTCCATTGTCATCAGCCGTGTCTTTCGGCGTGTGAGCTGTCTCTGGCTCTTTCTCGGAGGGGTGGGTAACGTTAGAGCTCACATCGCGAGCGATCTCCGTTTCCTTCGATGCCATGGCGAGAGAGATTTTATGATTCGGATATTAACTTGTTCAAGAAGCTCCGATCAGCGGTATATATATATCTTGATTTATTAGGGCCGCATTAGCCCGATACCGGTAACAAGGAAGACTCTGCACCAATGAGTATCTTGACTCAAGGAAACTTGTCCGGTAAGTAATAATTTTCCTTGCCGCCAGGGAGATTAATTCGGGCCAGCCCCCTGGCACACCTAAGCGTCAAGAAGATGGATTCATAGGGACCTTCTCAGTCCAATAAATTCCGTTCTTGGGCTCCAATGTTCTGATGCCACCCCGGGACGTTTTGATCAGCCCATTTCAGCTTTGATTTTTCTTACCTTTTTTTTCCCCATTTGGAGACAATTGGGGGACATGGATTCTAGAGGGTGGCGTTTCCCTCTCTTCATTGTGTTGTCTACGTACCGAAGTAGTCCGTATGGGCCTAGTGTAACTTTTTGTGTCATACGGTGAACTCATTTACCGTATTTGAAAAATACCGAGGTGCTTCAAAGTTACGTGTATTTGAGTATTGGAGCTTTACAATGTTTTCTGGTGTTTTGCGCGGTTTTCTTTTTTCTTTTTTTTCTTTTTTGGGGGTTTTCCTCTCCATTAAATCACATCGCGTGTTGCGCTTGATGAGTATGGAGCAACCTTTTTTTCCTTGTCGGATGATAGTTTCCTATCTGAGCTGGCGTCACATTCCCCCGAAGCTGCAGTCTTAGCTTAGCAACTCTATATCTCAACATCTCAGCACCAAAGAAACTCCCGAGAAACGCCACTTGGTAGCGTTAGTGTATGATATGAGTTTTTGCGTGTCTCATTTGAGGTTCAGACCAGTGATACTTTGAGTAATGAGCCTGAGCTGCTAAGATCACTGTGCTTAGGTTGAATTGTTTTGTTTGGAGACTTGTTGCTTCGCACCCCACAGGTGTCTCACTAAATTCACAGGCTATTATGATGGCGTTATGTTCCTTTCCGCAGTATAAGAGTTCACTTCCTATAATGAACTCTACACCAACCCCCTACATATATCCTTTATCTGCTATATTTACGGATAAAGTTAGGCTCAAATTCATTCGCTTGGTGATATCTTGAATTTCCAATTCTTTTACTGTGAATCAATCCATTATTCCTGAAATGCAACTTCATTTCGCTTCCGACTGCATGATATAGTTTCAGAGGAGGAAACTGGTAGCCAGTGCCCAAAAGAAATGCCTGTAATATTCCAGAAAGCTCTGCCTCAATCAGGACGAGCAGAAATGGCCATTTTGGAATATGGAAGGAGTACAAAGCGTGGGAAATTTAAAAGAAAGGCAACATGGATACCTATGAAACGTGATGAACTTATGTGGCGTATAGCGGGGGTCCCCTATATATGTTAGAAAGTATTCGATGTTAGCATCTAGCTCAGCGTATTCGACATTCTTAAGTATACTCCAAGGTTAAATCACGCTGGTACCATGTCAGATCAGCGCTACTAGTATTACGGGTGACGAAATGTATCACCAGAGACTTTAATCCTATTAGTTACTATTGCCGGGAAACGATTACCTATGTTGTATGTAGGTAAGTACTATTCACCCACATTTCATAGCGAAGGACTGGTATTCCGGGATGTCAGGGCCGGGGGTGAACTCTATGCTGTACCTATAAAGGTCGTAGTTAGTACTTATATAGTTGTACAGTTATGTACATTAGGAACCTTTATCGATCCTGCAGTATATAGAATGGGGGGGTTCTTTTTACCTGATCTAATGATCTATGCGAGCAATCTGTGTTGATTAATTGACGGGGTATATTTATATATATAGTTACACTATGAATGAAAGGAACGTTACAGAAGAATGAACATATCAGTTCCTACCAAATCCAGAGTCACACAAAATTGATATATGACGAGACATCGTAAAGGAGGATATCTGCCTTCCCTTCTAGGAGGGTACAACATGCATAAGTGTTGATATGGACACCTGATTGATCAGGCCTTGTTGTCAGGCTAGCTCTCTGCATGTTTGTAGGAATCAACATTTCTTCTCTCTCTCTCTCTCTCTGCTTCCCAGTAGCTTCACCAATAAGCGTCTCTCCCATATCCATCAGATGTTGATAAGTTAACTAACCAACTAGTTAGTTAGTTGGTTTGTTTTAATATTACCCTAAGGCACCAAGGCACCACGGCACCAACTACAAAATCACGTGCCCACTGCCATATTCGAATTTTCGGCCAATCAGAGACCAGGAAAGTCAAATTTGAGATTTCCCAAAGCGGCTCTGCCACTTTTTATTTGCTTCTAACAAACTCAAAAGTCTCGATATTTCGATCAGATACTCAATGGCCGACGACATTGAAAGGAATCAAGAGAAACATAGCAATGGCGAGCCACCCCAACTGCCAGAATTGCAGCGAAGGCTCAAAAGCCGACATCTACAGATGATCGCAATGGGTAAGAACTCCGAGCTATACACATTTTCGTTCTTATTCTCATTCTTATTGTTATATTTTTGAAGGAGGTGCCATTGGTACAGGTCTGTTTATTGGTAGTGGAAGTGCAATTGCTACTGCAGGCCCCGTTGGTGCCCTGATTGCATTCACCTTCATTGGATCAATCGTGTATTCAGTCATGATAGCCTTGGGTGAGGTGGCCACCTACCTACCGATCCCAGGAGCCTTTGCTACATATGCGACACGCCTGGTCGATCCTAGCTTAGGCTTTGCAATGGGCTGGATCTACTGGTTTTCATGGGCCTCGACATTTGCCCTGGAGTTGACTGCCACTGGCCTGATCATTCAATATTGGGATGACACGATCCCAATGGCAATATTCATTGCTGTGTTTTGGGTTGTCATCATAATCTTGAACATGTTTCCTGTGAGCTGCTACGGTGAAGTCGAATTTTGGCTTTCAAGCATCAAGATCATCACCGTTGTCGGGTTTATGATATTCGCCATTTGCATCAATGCTGGCGTTGGCAGGGAGGGCTATCTAGGATTCAGATACTGGGTGCACCCAGGCCCGTTCCGACCTTATCTGATTGAAGATTCTGGACAAGATGCTCTGGCTAAATTCATCGGATTCTGGGCCATTTTGATCAAAGCCGGGTTTTCCTACCAAGGTACTGAGCTTGTCGGTATTGCTGCGGGTGAAACGGAAAATCCCCGTAAGAACATTCCCTCGGCCATTCGAAAGACCTTTTTCCGAATCGTGTTTTTCTTTGTTTTTACCATTTTCTTCGTCGGTATCGTCGTGCCATCCAACGACAAACGCCTTACCGACAATGATAGCGGTGCAAATGCGGATGCATCTCCCTTTGTTATCGCTGCGAAACGTGCCGGTGTCAACGTCCTACCTAGTATCATCAACGCGGTCCTACTTACGGTGGTACTTTCCGCTGCCAATTCGAACGTTTACAGCGGGAGTCGAATTCTTGTTGGTTTGGCTCACGAGGGTTTCGCTCCTCGCTTTTTCTTAAAAACGACCAAACACGGCGTGCCCTATGGAAGTGTTGGATTCACAGCACTTTTTGGCCTGTTGGGCTTCCTCAATGTGTCCAATGCCGGAGCCACTGTTTTCAACTGGTTGATGCAGATTGCTGGCTTGGCCGGTTTTATTACCTGGGCCTCTCTTAATATTTGCCATCTAGCATTTATGAGAGCTTTGGCTGCGCAGGGAATCTCACGCGACACGCTTCCATATAAAGCTACCTGGCAGCCTTTTTTCTCGTGGTACGGCTTGTTCTTCAACCTGCTTATTATCATCACCCAGGGCTTCACTTCTTTCATCCCGAAGTTCAGTGTCACCGACTTTTTTATCAATTATCTCAGTCTGATCTTGTTCGCGGTGCTATACATTGGTCATAAGGTTGCTTTCCGACCGAAGTTTGTGAAGCCTATCGAGGCGGATATTAACACTGGGCGGTGTGAGGAGTGAGGAATGAGGGTTGCGATGGCTATGTGGAAAGCAATGTATCTTAGAGTGTATTTAGTATATATAGGGGATTGGTATAGAGACACCCCCTCCCTGTAATCTGACACCCCTTTCAGTAATCTGACACCCCTTTCAGTAATCTGACACCCCTTTCAGTAATCCGACACCCCCTGCCTGAAAAGGCAGGCATCTACACTACCGCCTTCCTAATTGGGTGCGACCCTAGATTCTGCCATACTTTTCTGCTAGTGTAGAGTTTTCTGCCATATAATTCTGCTATCACCATGGGAATTCCGGTTTATATAGTAAAAAAACATGCATTTTGATCAGAAAAAAAAGCTTATTTCAATGGATTTAATACTTTCTACTCTAACAAAAGTATCCATTCTCCACTAAACTATTTCCTTAGCAATAGTATCCTCTATGATCTAACCACGTCCCCGACCGCGACCGCGACCCCGACCCCGACCGCGACCCCGACCGCGACCCTAAGCAGTATTTGTCCCCCGACCCCGACCGCGCGCGCGCCGAGGTATACCACGAACCTAACCCCGGCTTGCTTCCTATAAAGACGGATCTCGGTAGACGGAGGAGCTCTCTTACGCTTAAGTTTAGGTTAATAGATCGGCGGAAGACTAGGTAGACTAGGTGGACTAGGTAGACTAGGATGCCTAGGATGCCTAGGATACCTAGGCCTAGGATATCTAGATACTCGCGAAGTTACGTATACCTCGGGGTCGTCCTCGACGACGTATACGAAGGGGATCCTATATAAGTAGGGATAGGTTAATTAGAGGGGTTATATTAATACTATATAAGTACTAATACTAATAGTATAGATCTAGTTCGAGCTACTTCTTCTTATTATCGTACGCCTTAATGATATAAATATAAGGAAATCTATAGGTAGTCTTCGAATTATAGTTATAGATAGGGTAGATTAGTAGCTTTCCTTCTTCCCCTTCTAGTAGATATCTTATATAGACCTCCTTTATAAGTTAAATCGCCCGTACTAAGATCCGATTGGTTAATAGCTAGTAAAGTAGTAGAACTTACTTTATTAGCCTCTAAATCTTCTAAGTATTAATTCTATACTTAACCTTAGCGAACTAGAGGTTTATTATACGCTCGAAACTATAAAGTACGATAAGTAAATTGTTATTCGATATCTAGAGACTAAGCTTTAATAGCTAATAAGTACCCTCGGCCTAAGAGGTCGTAATTTCATTTAAATAAAGGTATTACGAGGTATAGATATAGAGGAAGCGCTCTAGACAATCGTCTAGCTACTTCTTTTATATATACTCTAGTAATAGTTAGAAGAGGGGATTATTATACTTTTCTTTAAAGTATAACTATTAGCGCTTATACTCCTCGAATATCGTAGTATAAATGATTCGACCCTACCGTTTTAGTATCTTTTTTTACCCCTCCTCGACCTTTTCTTAGTCCTCTTTAGCTTACTAGGCCTTAGTCTAACGCTAAGAAGAAGGTTTAGTAGATTAGGTCTCTATAAACTAATTGCGATCCCGATAGGCTTATATAAGTTAGTCGGTAAGAAGGGGACGAGTAACCTTTATAATCCTTATATTAATATACTAGAGATAAAATATATACTTTATCTCTAGAAATACGTTCTTAATAGTAGTAATAAGCGCTTTTTCCTTATCTATAAGGATTATAAGGGGATAGGGAGGGTCGATACTAAGGGATTCGTATACTTTAGTAAGGTAGTTAAGTATAACTTCGTATATCTCTTCCTTTTCGTCCTATATAAAGACAAAACTAGTATAGAATATCGATCCTATTATAGTAAAGCCTACGATATCGAGTAAAGGAAGACTATACTAATTTATCTTATACGTATAGTCTATAGAAAGGACCTAGGGGTTTATTTAGAGTATTTAAACGCTAGACTTATATATATAGAACAAAGCGGATATATAATATTAATCGTTAACTTCGTATTTAAAAATCTAGTTACTATCCTTTAGAAGTTCCTATAAAAGCGCCTAGATAGGTATTCGGCCGGCGAGAAAGACCTAGTTAAGTTTTTTCTAGGTATTATAGATATCCTAGGGAATAATAGTACTCTTAGGATCGGCCTTACGTAGCTCGGTAAGAATTTAGCGGGTTATACGTCCTTATCGAAGCGCGTTCTCGATCTTATCTTTCTTATAGATAAGCTCTAAGGCCCGTAGGGTAGGGTAGGTCGACGGTAGCGAAGGCTTATAGTTATACGTAGAATCCTTAATTATCGTATACTAAAGCCTAGTATCGAGATCTAGGCGAAGAACTATTATAAAGGGGTATCTAGTCGTAAGTATATTAGTATTCCGCCGCTTTATAGGGGGATCTATATCCTATATAACCTTTCGACTACGGTTATAGTAGAGATAGATAGTCTTTTTCACCCCTTTCTTTATATTTTTAGAACGTAGAGAGGTGACCGTATACCCGTACGACCGCGTAAAGGTATTTATCGCGGTAATCGCTTCCTCCGAGGTAGCGTATATCTAGTCTATTAGCGGAAGCGGGAAGGTAAAGCTTAATATAGACTCGTTAGCGTGATTAGTACTTAGCGGCGCCGGTAGGGACTCGGGGACGATCTTACAGTCGGAATTAGCGTCTAAATCGGACGAATTAAGGTATACTAGGCCTAGAGAGGCCATTTTGGTTGCTAAAATAACAAAAGTAGGATAGAAATAATGAAAAAAAGGATTAAAACTAATGATTTAGTGCAAATACAGATGAAAAAATGAGTTAGGAGAAGGTAGGTTAATGTATATAAACCAGAATTGTATTATTAGATTATTTGCTGCTCGAGTCCTATAACATACATGGGACAAAAGTGACTTGTTTTTACTATATGTTTACATACAAATTGTAGGTATCTGCTGTCGTCCTATAGTGTTAGGGGGAAGTTTGACACGAAGGCGGCGTAAAAACTCGAAGGCGGTGTAAAGAGCGGTAAATTGATGCTGAAAAATCAGGCAGGGGGGTGTCGGATTACTGAAAGGGGTGTCAGATTACTGAAAGGGGTGTCAGATTACAGGGAGGGGGTGTCTCTATACCAATCCCCTATATATATTTTGATTTTAATAGAGTGTATAAAATGGAGAGACTAGTTTAAGTAACTAAATCTAACTAGTACTATATTAAAGAAGTTGTTAATACTTATATCAAATCCGTAGAATAAATTCTAATCTGTCATGGATAACCCAGTGGAAGGCTCACCGCCATGCTAATTACCCTGCTTCGGCTGTCAAGGTCAGCAGGAAAGGTGCCTGGTACGAATCCTGGGGTTGGCATTTTCACTCGTGCGAGTAATCCACGACGCTGGAAGCCACTAAGCAATGGAAATGACCCTTGAGGGAAGCAATTCTGCAGAGACATTTCCACCCCGGGATGGCGTCGCCAGATTACACCATCCTGTTACAGGGAACTTGGCAATTTGGTGAGACAACTACTATTTTTTTCCTTTTTTTTTAGATGAATTTTTTTGAAGCTATTCAAATACATATATCTCCTCTACCCCTTTATTATTCCCCTTCTTTTTCCCTCGCCTACTTTATTATCCGGTGAATACATGAATATATTTTGATCAAATATACACATTGACCCCCTATAGAGAATACCACAACAAGTTAAACACGCTAACATATAGCATGATAAAAATATACAAAAGAAAATCATAAGAAAAAACAACACTCGACAAGTATTCCACACATAAGACAATAAAAAAAAAAAAAAAAAAAACAAATCAAGTTCAGGGAGTCCCCATATGAGTCTCATGCGATGCATGCACCGTATTCTGCGTCTGCTCCAAAACCACAGCATAAAATTTCCCTTCTTCCGAAATATCACGGTAGGGACCTGCAGAGACGACGGCCCTACAACGAAAGCAAAATTAGCATATGATCTAACTTTCACTTTCAATTCAAGTACATGGATATCAAACAACATCAAATATAAAAAGAAATGAGATCAAAGGATCAAGATCAAAACATACCACCCCTTATACTTCGGCTGATTAAAGATATCCGTAAACACCCTCAGCACTCGCAACGGCAACTCCAGAATAGAAGGCATCTCAGGTCCATCACCACAAATGGGTAGTCCCAGCTTGTTGACGGGGAGGTAGACGGTCTCTGCGACATTCTGCGGGTTGCGCGTCTCCTGGAAGATGAGGAGACGGCGCGTGGCCTGTGAGTGTGGTCCGCCTGCTGGCGGTGGCCTGGTGTTTGCGCTTGCGCTCATGCTCATCGTGAAGGCTTTTTGGGTGTGTAGAGTGCGCAATAGGTTTTTGCGGAGATCCGTGTTGGATTTTCTTTTTCTTGGACTTGGAGTTTGGGGAGAGGAGTTGTTCAGTTTGGCTGTTCTTTTTTTTTTTCTTGGTGTTGTTTTTTTTTACCCCCCTTGGACTTTTGTGCTGTGTCTCTGGATTTGGTGTTTAGAGATAGCGCGTTTTCTTTTGCGGTTTATTAGTATATGATCTTCTTGCATATAGTTCACCACGGGCTTCGTACTATTTGTTGACTGTGGCACGTATGGAGGGCGTGACAGGCTCTGCTTATCGTTGGGCGATCAGTGTCCCGATTAGGAGATCGCGGGGCAAAAAGGGGGGACTTTGGAGAAAGGTATAGTTTTAGTAGTAGTAGCAGTAGTATAATAAAGATGAAGAGAGATGGGAAGTTGGTCGTCTGTTGGTTTTAAAAAAGGAAATAAACCAAGAGAGGGGACCTCAGAAGATTAGATTGTGGCCTACATGTACAAGATTGAATTCTTAGATATTTAGATCCCCATACACAACATTCATCGATCACATTAATTAGATTATTCCTATACTCTAAGTCTCTAGATGACCTAGGTACAATAAAAATAAAATCACACTCAACAGATAAAGAAAGAAAAAAATAAATAAAACTCTGGGTATCATGATAATGTGGTCGAAGAGAAACAAATAAGAACAAAACAAAAGAACGTCAATCCCGCTCAAATCAGGGATAAATCATGGTATATGGCATCATTCACTAGGAAGTGATGAGAAGAGAAGAGAAGAGAAGAGAAGATAATCAAATCAAGCATCAAGCTCTCCCTCTAGCACTCTCCGCGCAGCATCAAGACGACGCCGCAGCACACGCGCAGCTTTTACATCTGGATCCTCAGACGTTGTGATTGCCTGCAGATCCATACAAACGTTACCAAGACTGGCGAACAGTGCTTCCAGCATCTGGGTGTCATCGTCATTGATGCCACCGACACTGGGGGTGCTGGATGCCGCGCGCACGGTCGAAACGAGGGACGAGACAAGAGAGTTTGGGGTTGCAGAACCGGCCGTAGCTGATGATGAGCGGCCAGTATGTTTCTGGGGGGTCAGGTTGTTCGGGTCCATTGGGTTGGCGTCGCCGCTGTGGCCGTATCGTGGCCCGCGTGGTGTTTCAGAGCGATCGCCCTCGACTTCAACCTCTTGGATTGGACTTGGTTGGTGGCTGTAGCCGTGAGCATGGGACTGGGAATGGCTATGACTGTGTCCATGTCGCAGCTCTGTCCAAGGATTAGTGTCGGAAACGCCAGGGGAGATGGATCGCGGGAACGCACCATGGTTGAACCGTCGGTCCCAGTACATCATGCTGTCAATGTCGTCCTCGTCGTCGGGACGCTCGCCTTCGTTCGCGGTTGCGAAGGTTGCCACTGTCGAGACAGACATGTTGCTGTTGGTACGGGAGTGCCGGGCGTATGCGGGCCGGGTTGTCTCGACTGATCCGTTCGAGCTGTTGCTCACCCGACGGAGTTGCTGGGTGTAGTTGCCCAGTGCGCTATGCAATATGAAATGCTCATAGTCGAACGCATCCTCGCGCATCTCGTGGGGCGTCGCATCCATGTGCGACGGCACATCAGGGAAGGCTTCCATGTCGTTCTCAAAGTCATCGTCAAGCGGCTCACGCAAAATCTCATCCAGAGCTTCGCGGTCAACCTCATCAAAATCACCTTCTTCGGCATCTTCGTACATGGTCTCGGCGACAGATTGGTCGTCGGCATATTCAGCAGGCTCATTGCCTTGCCAATTCTCGGCATGTTTGGATGTATTCTCAGCAGCTCGCTCATCGGATCTGCGCCGATCTTCCGCCGCTGCATTATTCGAGACATGCCGGGTGTTTTCAGAGCCACCGTCGCGTCGGGGGTCGGAGCCACGACTGCTCTGATCATCTCTGAGCTCTAGCGCATTGGCATACCAGTGATCAGCGGCCGTCAATGGGCTGGGCGTGCGCAGGCTTTGCAAGCTACGCCGGCGAAGATTATCCTCCTGAGTCTTCACCTTGAGAGAAGAGATCTTGATGTGAAGACCTTTCATTTGATACTGGAGATCCCGCACCTGCAGTTGTGACTGCGCGCGGCTAGGGGGACCAAAGGAGCTGTAGACCGGACTGAAATCATCCGGGCTTGATTTTGATCCCTCGTCCGAGGAGATGCCCAAGCCATGTGGCGAGTCCGGCGAACTGTCTTCGGTGGAAACAGGTGACTGCGGCATCTGGTCCTGTTGGCCCTGGTCATTCAAATGTATCGGAGGCTGGATGGAAGAAACCGATGACCGGTGCGTCAGATACGCCCTAGTGGGTGCATATTGGAACGACCGATTATCAGTGTGAAGGCTGGACGAAGTGCTTGCGCCCATCGCACTGACAGAGCGCGATATACGCTTGCTATCATTCGAGAGGCTCGAATCAGACGGGATATTCGTCTCGGAGTGGACTCTCGAATGACGATTATTCGTCGTATCCTGCGATGCAATGAGCGACTGCCGTCGAAGCGAAGAGTTCCTAGGATCCGTGCGCGAAATCGACCGATACAGTCCACCCACCGGTTGGTGCATACCCATCGGCTGGAAGCCCGAATTTGAGGGCGAAGGCGAGGCGGCGGTGCGCGGCGTCGTCGACCGAGCTCGAGTGAGATTGTTTTCCATAAGCTGAGAAACAAAACACATTAGTATTACTTCCTAGCCAACATGCAACGCGCCAGACAGGAGATCAACATACATTTAACCGTTTCTTCGCATTCTCCAGAATCCTCTCCGCCTCGCTGCTCAGTATCGCCGAGGAAAACTCCTCCCCGGGCCCCTTGCCCTCTGCAGCTGCAGAAGCCACAGCATTGCTAGCCGGCACAGAGGAACCCCCTGCAGTTCCAACGACAGCGGTAGCTTGCGCTCTCGCGACCTCGGGGTGAACGGGGGATTCGTCGCGTCCATTATGCGCCTCAGATACATCCTTCGAAGCAGAAGCGCGTCTGCTCCCCGCACTGATTGTGGAATTGGAGCTACTCCATGTAGGATTATCCCTATTCTGATCGCCGTGCTCATGCAATAGCGGTGAGCTAGCCAGGTCTTGTTCGTCCGAATCGCCGAATCCCTGCGATCTCGTGGGCGAGAGCTCCTCGCCAATATCTGACAAACGGCGGCTGGCATTCACGTCGTCGTGTGTCCAGGCATGACGGGAAAAATTTTTCTTCTGTCGACTAGGTGCTGACGTGGAGGCATTGGGGTCTGATTGGCGGGAATTGAGATGCGACAAGTAGGCGATTTGCGGTGGGGAGGGAGTCTGGGATTGGCGATCGTCTTTGTACGGCAGGATCATGTCCGGGTTTGGTAGAGTGAGTGAGGGCATATTTTTCTCTCTCTCTCTCAGGCCCTGGGGCCTGGGGGTTTGTCGTTGCAGAATGGGTAGAAGAGGAGAGAGAGAGAGAGAAAGGGTTGAAGTCGTAGATTCGACCCGTGTACGGGTTGGGTACCGTTACAGTTAGTTTCTCCCCTTAGACAGTTTAGCGTGCCCTGATCATTGCCTTATTTGGATATGTGGTTGTGAAGATATTCCCAATTTCGTATCTTCTTACAGACTAAATCAGAGTACATGGGGATTAGGCTTGAAAACTACCCTTTACAATTGTCAATAGTAGTAGTTTAAGTAGTATTAGGTATACAAATAGCTTGTTGATAGATCAGATCAAATATTTTACTATGTAGACCTCGACAGCAATAAGCTTTCTCCGGTTATAATAATAAAATTACCTTTTAATTTCTTTCTTTGATTGGGATTGTCTCATTGCCAACTATTCCAAGTAACTAATACGTTGTAGTAGACATGACCCTTAAATGTGACATATACTTATGCATCCTCCGTGTAAGATGCAATATTGCAGTAAGGATATATGACCCAGACACTTTTTATTGATTGTACTACAACATACGGAGTAAAACATACCTAATTACGATCCTTTGCTATGGCTAAAATAACAATGGACGAACCCCTGAGATCGGCTACCCGTATGGCTACGAGTTCCACATCGGTGGAGAAGCTAATTTCAGAGACCATCTCAGCGTTCATTCCAGGGAAAAAAGAGACAAAAGACAGAAAAAAAAGAAAGAAAGAAAGAAAAGAAAATGGTATGCTTTTTTGTATACAACGTAATTACACATGCTATAATCCCGTAGAAACGCTTATATCTAGATCTTCGAAAGCAACAACTTCGCACCACTGCTAGTCGGGCTGGGCTTCTTCTTTCCATCCTTCTCCACGACCAACGCCGAGGCCTGCTCCAGCGCCTTCTTGTTCTTCTTCAGGGTCTTGAGCAGCTCGCTCTTCTTCTCAAAGTCCTCCGACTCAGCCAGCGCGACAACGACGAAGGGGTTAGCCCCCGTCGCCCAGTCCACGACCTCATCCTTGATCTGCGCGTACAGCACATCGTGGAAGTTCAATGCAGGCTCCACCTTCTCGACAGACTTCGAGGCCGGGTTGAATCGTCCACCCTGCACAAGAGACTTGAGAAGACGTCCCGCGTGTGCGGTATCGCGGGCCTCGGTGTGCGACTTGGCGGCCTCGGCCACGGCCGCGAGAGCGGCGGTCTTGTCACCATCGGCTTCGAACAGCACCTCGGAGAGGAACTGGCAGCCGAAGGTCGTCTCGAGGAGGGTAGAGGCGCGGGCAGCGATGAATTCGAGTAGTGTCGGCGAAGCAGCCTTGACGAGTTCCAGGCGGCGCATGGCCGGGTCTTTCTTGGAGGTTTCCTTGCGGACCTCGCGCACTTCTTCAAGGACCGTTTGGTCGGCCTCGGGCAGGAGCCACTTGACGCGTTCGCCGGCGAAGGGGTATAGCACAGCGATACGCGCGGTCAAATCATTGACCTGGTAGCAGAGCTCCTCGTTACGGGCCTCTTCAGCTTCGTTCTGGTTCAAAAGTTCGGGGAAGAAGGACTTGGCGCTGAGTTTCGTGTCATCAATGACTTCGTACGCGGCAAGGATAACTTGGTGACCGTAGACGTCGCCGGCCATAGCCTTGACGGTGTCGCGGAAGAATCGTAGAAGCAGCTTGCGGTCCTTAGCGTTGGAGTATGCGAGTGTCAGACACATTAAGCGGGAGCCGGACTTGGTGAAAGCCAAATTCTTGACCAAGTCACCCTCTTCGTCACCCTTGAGCAGCTCGATAAACTCGTTCGCTTCGTTGCTGCCGGGTTTCGTGCAGAGGAAATATTGCAACATAGCATCGTGAAGCATCGTGAAACCGGTACTCTTCTTCTGCACCAGCTGGTTAATCAGCTCGCGCAAGTAGTTCATGATCGGTCCACGCTTCTCCGGGTGGGCTTCGATGATTTTGGTGAGATCAGAAGTGGTGTCCATCTCATCTTGGAAAATGACAAACTCGGGACCGTACCACTCGCGGAGGAGTCTGTTCTTCTGTGCCTTGGTCGCAACTGTGCGGTAGATGTCGTCAAGAATCCATGAACCCTCGGGGTGGCGGATGAGACGTCTGACATGGCCGTAGAACTCTGGGATGATCAAATCGCGGGTCTCATCGTCTCCATGGACAATCAACTTTCCGACCAAGAACTTAGCGTATCGACTTTGCGCCAGCTCCTTGTAAGTGCCCTTCAACTCGTGTGCGATCAGCTTGCGCTGCTCGAGGTTTCCGTACTTGAGAGCAGTCTGGATAACTCGCACCGAGTCGTGCTTGAAGACGAAGTCACGAACGCGGTTAGTGATGATCTCAAACAGCTCCTTGACAAGCTTCTTTCTCTGCTCCAGAGGCACGTGGGACTTGCGGCGCAACTGCTCCCACAACTTCTTGGAGCGGGCGACGGTATCGGCATTGGGCTTCGCGGCCTTGCGCTCCTGCTGGAGTGCTTTTTGCTTGATGTGGGATTCGCGAGAGTTGTTGTCTAAACGCGCCATAACGATTAGATGCGGCACGGCCATGGAGGCAGAACTGAAACTTACTGTTAGGGTTGGGATTGGGGTTCTTTGGGGCCTCTCCCTGCTCTTCATCATCCGAATCAGACTTCTTGTCTGACTTGGGCTTCTCCTCCTCCTCGCTCACATCGGGCATTTCATCGTCTGAAAGGGCATCAAGGGCATCAATGTCTTCGTCGGAAACATCGTCAATGTCGAAGTCATCGTCGTCCTCGGATTCTTCCTTCTGAACCTTCTTCGAAGGCTTCTTGTCGCTCTTGCTGGATTTGGAATCCTTCTTGGAGTCCTTCTTAGATGAAGAGCTTGACTTCACGGACTTGGACTTTGATGCGGAGCCTTCCTTAGTCTTGCTCCGCTTGCCATTGCGCTCCTCGCTGCCGTCAACGGCACGCTTCAATCCAGCCATTATGAAAGATGATTTCCGTAGGCTGTAGGGTATCTCCGATTGAAAAAAAAGTAATAAAACTGGGGTCTTTGCGAGCGGAGACTGCTCGATGTCCTGGTGGATAATTTTTTTTGATCGCAGGCGGAGGAAGTTTTTTTGCCGGCTGTTTGCACAGTTTGCACCGATAAGATATAACATAGCCCTGCCCAGGTGGACTGCGATTCCTAGCAGGCTCATACACATAGCAACCAGATTAAATAAATATTTCTACTGAATTTCTTACAGAAAGTAAGATTGACTGATATGTGGAGGTCCCAGGGCGTATTGCCATGGAATTTCTAGAATAAAATGTAGGATATTGTCTCTGAACGAAGCATAGATGGCCCAAGTCGCAACTCGACGGCAACAGATATACAAAATGCTGATAGGTGACATGAGCCACGCAGACTCTCCAGGTACAAGACGATCCCTAATATCATCGACCAAGTCCCAAATTATATTGTCCTTTAAACGAGTGTGGCTTGCATCACTCGAAACAAACCCCCGAAACAAACCCGAAACGCCGTAGAGAAGACCACAACGCATTAAACGTATCTCATCATTCATCACTTCATGTCTCATCGGTGGGCGCAGGGGTAGATGGGGTCACTTTCACAGATGCCAGTTCTGACCCGCCGCCACTCTGGCCGCGCTTCCGGCCGGGAATGTGGAAGCCGAAAGACGAAGTAGAAGTCTTGGGCCCGGGTGTTTGCGCATCGTGACTAGAGTCACCGAATCTGGAGAGGAAACCCTTCTTCTTAGGTTTCACCTCATCATTTAATCCTACTTCTTCGAAGGCTTCTTCCTCCATGATTTCAGACTTGGTGAGGCTATTGGAGAGAGTGCCCGACGGCGTTAACCGGGAGAATCGAGAGTCAAGAGAAGTTCGAGAAGGACCAGCATCGGGATGGATGATGGGTGAGCGCGCGGAGATATCCTAGATTGGAGATTTAACGTCAGTTGGATTCATGCGGATCAGTTCGGATCGGTTCGCGGGGCATACAAATGATCGGCGGTAAGAGTCAAAGGACTCGCGAGAGATGGAGAAAGGCTCATTCTCATCAACGAGATCTCGATGGTTGATGGGTTTGTTTGAACCCGGGTACCGGCGCCAAAAGCTCGACCGCTCTGGAGGAGAAGGCTATCACTATAATTAGCAGGTATAACACATCTCCGGATCACACAGTCTATACCGGAAGATAGACACCGCTGTCGTTGACCACTAAGGACTGAGATTAGCATTTGAAGAGAGTGAACTTGCCAAAGCAGATACGACAGCCACATCAGTCAAAGAAGTGCGGGGGATTCGAAACATACCACTCAATTTGTACTCGGTGGGTTCATCCTGGCTACTGCGGATGGTTATGGGCGCAGGACGTTGATTTGGAGATAGATGGTTCTCATCCAAGATAGCAGGATCACCATTGGGTTGGGGCTTTGGGCGTAGGAAGTTCCGAAATGGAGGCATGGTTGTGGAAGTATATTGTTGTAAAGTCTGGGGGACTTTCCTTGTGAAAGGTCCGGATTAGGGTCAAAGTCCCCCCATCGTCCGATTGCTGAGCCCACGTCATCCAATAAACCTATCCCATGGATGAAAATTAAGAATCAACCAATAAGACTTGATAAAATTATTATAAATTATATTAGAATTATTGTAAGATTTTATATGATTTTATATGATTTTATATGAGTAATTTTAACTCTTTAGCCCTGGTCCTGTCCCTGACCCAATGACTGCTACCCAACCTCGGTGTTCTATATAAAACACACATTACGTCTACTTCAGCAATGAACTAACATTCACTTCATACATTCAAGCCTAACAAATAAAGCTTTAAAGCTACAGATATCAGAAGGGGAAAAAAAACACCCTTCAACACCCACGAACACCCAATTAGAAAAATCAGAACATTCCACATCCATGGATTCCTCCGATGTTTTCTATCGCAGTTCGCTTGAAAATAGATCCACCTGCAAACAAACTCCATAAGCAAATCAGACCCAAGACCAGCCTCAATCCAGAAGCAAATCGAGGCTTGGACTGATGCATTTCGCTATCGCTTTCGTAATGGCAAGTTTCACCAGTAATTGACCGACCCTACACTGACAACGTAACGGACGAAAAAAAGTGACTCGGACATTGTTTGTTGGTTCCTTTTTTTTTCGAGGTTTTTGTGCTTTTTGACTTTTTGTGGTGGTGGTTTTTTTTTTTTTCTTTGGTTGTTGTTGTCAGAAGCTAAGTGGCATTGTTAGGCTCAAGGAGATTGGCACTGTGGTGGAAATCCAGGGAGCGAGAGTCGGATGGGTCGAAGACGGCGTTCTTGCGCTCCTCGATGAAGTAGGCTGTGCAGAACAGAATGTTAGTCAAGGAACTTCAGATATATGCAAATCAAGATACGATGTGATGTGACGTACGGGTCAGTTGAATCATATCAAACCAGCGGACGGCGTGCTCGTCGCTACCGTCGACTGCCTTCAGAATACCATTGTCCGGACGGAAAGTGGCCTTGGGAGGAATGTGGCGCATGCGCAAAAGCATCTCCAGGATGTCGGAGAAGCGGTCAGATTGGTTGAAGTAGTAGGGAGGGCGCTTGTCAAGAGGCCACTTGATTGATTGTTAGTATGAGATGCACCATGAAAGAGTAGCAAAGAACCACTTACGCGCTGAGAAAAGTTCTCGTTGTCCCATGAACGGAACAGCCAGCAGGTACGCTCCACGCAATTCAGGAGGATAATAGCCACAATGAAAGTATCAAACCAGCCACACTTCTGGCGCTGAAGGAGTCGACGTTCCAAATCATTGATGACAAACTTGCTCAACTGCGAGGCACGCTTCTCCATAGCGGCACGCAACTGACTGCAAAGAAGACCGTACGATTCTGGGTCAGACACCTCCTCGATGGGCAGACGGCCCTCATCCGACGGCTGAGAAAGAGAGTGCAACGAGTTAGGGGGCAGAGTAGGGTTGTAGTAAGTCTTCCAGGTGAGTTCTGTGTCGACGAGAATATGGGTCGCGACCCACAGCTCCAACACGCGTTCCAGAAGGATATCCTGCATCTATGTTAATACACGTTTCCATATTGAATGTCGCACAACATACCTTCTTCCCCTGGCTAAGCTCAGCAGCGAGCAGCAAAGTGGGCTTCATGAAAGGCGAGGTCTCTCGCTCGTAAAAGTAAGAAGCGTTCTTCTTGATGTACATTTCCAACTTGGCTGGGATGTCATCCGAGTCTGCGTCCAGGAGGTAGACTTCTTGCGAGGGACCAGAGAACTGGTCATCACCAAGGGCCTGCAACTGGGGGTCAAGTGCCGACACTGAAGTGCGGTGACCCTGCAGCCCACTGAAAGTCATGAAAGAGTTGCTCTCCTCAAAGTGAGTAACTTCAATGCGACCGGAGTAGGGCTCAAACTTGATTTGGTTTTTAATGCTGTTAGTGTCATGGTAAGCAAGTGTGGAGTTGAGGTCTAGAGCCTGAGTCAGTATATCTTCGAAAAGAGCAAAATACAGACAACATACTGGCATTGTAGAGCTCAAACTCATCGGAAAGGCGGGTGCGCAGGCACGGGTGCTTCCACAAACGAGCGCTCTCCACGCTAGCGCAAGTTGTGCAAGGGGTATCGCCAGAGCACTATCAACATTCGTTAGTGAGGTTGCACTTATTTCACACATCCCCATATCCAAGGATACATACAGGTTTCTTTAGCATTCGGCAACGAAGGCATGCGCCCTTCTTCCGGACGTCTTGAACTTCACGGCGTCGCTCTGCAGTAAATCGTCCCCGCACCTTGGGCTTCATAGGCTTTGTTGAGTTACCAAACTCGTTCACAAACCCTTTTGCCTGGGTATTTGGGTTCATCGCAATAGGGCGGGGGTAAGATGCCGCACGCTGGGTGGCAGCAGTCAACGAGGGATCATGTTCTTGCAAGCTGTCGAAAAGAAGTTGCTCATGTGTGGACAGCTGCTGATTCCATTGGCCCAGCTTCATATCAGAGCTAAGGTTGTCACTGTCAATGGACATTCCTTGGGGGACCATCTCATTGGCGGAGGCCGCAATCATCGACAGTTGTGACTGGCGCGCATTAGAGGTAGATTCAGGCGACATGGACGCATCACCAAGGGGTGGAGACATGGATGCAGGGTGCTCGCCCGGAGTGTGGCTTGGGAGGGCAGGAATACTAGGAGCGTTTGACGATTGGGGAGTTCCTGCAAATTGTTAGTGGTGGAAGGCATACAACAGTGAACAAAAGGAAAACATACCCTCGACATTTGCTGTACCCTCCATCTTGGAGTCAGGCCCTTGCGAGTGTCCCTGGAATCCCTCCGCTTCAAGCGCAGGATCAACAATCACGGTCTTGCCTCCAGCTGTCACAGACTGAGTGTATCCAGGTCCACGCTTGGTCACGTCCGAGGCACCCACCTGTCGCGAGGCTTCGGCCAACACGTTGAGACCGTCGAAGTTCTGCCGGTTGGGAAATCCACCATCGGCAGACTTGCCTTTGCCTCCAGAAGGGGAGTCCTTGCTCGAATCACCGTCGGTCAAGTCGGGGAGTTCGTGGAGTCGCAACAACACGCGTTGGCGGTCGCGTAGAGGGATCGCCTGACATTTTTTCACCAAATGGTTGGTAAGGCTATCAATGCGACCCTTGGGAAATACTTCGCCGCAGGCTTTGCACGTATGTTGGTAGCGATTGCTCGCGTCTTCCAGCTTGGGACCCCGGTGGAAGAACTCGAGGATGAGTTGGTTGGGTTTGCGACCCATTGTGGGGGTGGCTGTGGACGTGTTTTTGAGAGGTTTACACGTGTCAATTAGAGATATAGTGACAGTAAATAGTCAACCAGATCAATCAACGTGTCACTCGCTCAGAATGGGGTGTGTTCCACCAAGCTGATATGCCTGTGTACTCCGATTAGCAAACGTGGAATGTGGGATGTGGGAGAAAAGCCACGCACACAGTCACTGGGGACTGGGAGGTCCTGGCTGTGAGCCTCAGACAGAAGCAATAGCCTCAGAAGAGACTTGAAATGGAACAAAAAAAAAACAAATCTCAAGATGATTGAATCAACGATGTGCGGGCAAAACCCAGGGCAGTAGAGGGCGGTCTGGGAATGGGAAGGGGAGGAACACGCGATGGAGGCTTCACCGCACGAAAGGCGGTGATGTTCTTCAAGGCGGTAGGGGAAAGGCGGTGATGAAAGAAGAAGAATGCGTCAATATCAACTTGGATAAGAAACGAGAAAAAAGGATGAGTTGTTATGGGATGGGGTTGAAGGAGAGGAAAGGTGAGTACTGGACGGAGAGGAATTCTTAGTCACTTTGTGCCACTGTGACTGCCTCTCCCTCCCCTCTCTCTCTCTCTCTGAATATCTCTCTCGCCTTCTGTATGGAAACTCTATGTATGGGGCAGCTATGCAAGCTGTATCATTTCTTTTTTCTTCTTTTTTTTAGAGGCTGCCAATATGTATCTACTTAATGCACAGCAATACAAATAACTAGCATACATTCCCTACTCGTAGAAAAATATTCAAACCAAACATATCGTCATTCCCGTGTCTAATATTCGGTGCTTCCCCCGGGGCCGAAAACTGTGTAGCCAGTACTAACAACACTAAGAATATTGTTATAATCGCACCTCATCCTCCATGTGCATCAACAGATCCGGTGTTCGGGAGGTCGCCAGGGCACACCCAACACTGCAAAAATCCGACGCTCATCCCGGCCCTCAACCAGCCGCCCCCCATTCAGTTTCACCTGCTGATTCCGAAGAACATCCGCATATAGACCTTTTTGATTCAAGCACATCCCTTTCTTGCGTGCCAGCAATCTCATACTCCGGTTGAATATATCATTCCCCGTGAAGTATATCAACGCGGCTCCGATCTCCGCATCCGGAACGAACAGCAAATCAATCCGACGCCACAGGGTTGTGCCAGGTAGAGCCGATGCACCGTGCCACTTAGATCCATCCTGATGCGACGAGATGGCAAGGCTGGCCTTAAGAAAGCCACTATTGAACAATCTGGGGACAACAAGACCGAGCATCATGGTGCGGATTTGCTCCAGCGTGGCACCAGGTTTGGTGATCAGGCAGTCCACGTCCCCGCAGGTGAGAGCCCCGCGGCGGTAAGAGCCCCCAATGATCACCTGCATATCCCTGTCCACGGCCTGCACCGCCTTTCGCACGATCTCCCCATGGGCTTCGACCTCCTTGCGGGGAATTCGTTGCGCGAAGTCGCTGTGACGTTCCACCCCAATACGCTGCTGCTTAGTCAATGGAGCCCTTTCCAATAAATCATTCAGAGACCTATAGCCCTGTGCGACCCATTTGGAGGCCTGGGGAAGGCCAGCGCCATAGACGCCGAGAAATTCTTTGATTATCAAGTCTTCTGGGGTGTGGTTCGCATTTTCGAGACGACGAAGGCGGTTAGTCAAGACGATTTCTTCGATTTTATCAGCCAATCGCTCTCCA